CCCCCAAGGTTGGCAAGTATGACAAGGACTATATAGACAGCACGTGAATAGAAAATGTTCTATAAAATATAATAAAATATAAGTACTGCTAAATATAGTATATACATCAAAAACAGTTCAGTTTTCACGATTAATTTCACATAAATGAACTGTTACATTAGCTCTTGTTAAACTAGTGTAAACTAAACTTTTTTGTGTTCAACACGGAGGTGACATCACACCGATTTTGTGTATTTATTTTCCTGATGAGAATGAACACTCGAATATCAAAATAAAAAAATTAATTTTATGAAACGGCGTTTTGAGTGTTTATACATAAATTATGTGAATTTGTATGTGTGCTTTGAACTAGTCATGCAATATTCCACCTTAATCAATAGATATGATTGGAAATTAACAGCAATTTTATCAATATTACCAGTATAATATTTGCATTGTACCTCCACATAAACAGTATAATCTACATAGCCTAACCAGTATCCAATTTACCAACATATTACCAATGAATACCTTGTATATAATTGGATTATTTCGTGCGTTAAGAAATTGATTTCTTTCGCATCGTACTTATCCGTGATTATATATAGCTGTAATGTATGCAAAACTATGGGAGATAACTGGCAAAAGGGCACGATCGGACGTCATTATCAGTGACGTCATCAAGACGTCAATTTGTAACGACGTCATTGCTTTTGGCGTAGTCATGTTTGAAGAGTCCTCTCAGATGTAACAAAGCAAGCAGACGAACATCAAAACTTCAGATGGCATCTCCAGAAAGAGCTTTGATAGACGATATCCACGGGGATCCCGAGCAACTAAACCAAACTTTGCAATCAAAAAAAGATTCACGATATAGTTGGTTTGTCTGTGCTTGTGGATTTGTTATGCAGGTTTTCATTCTCGGGATCCATCATGCTTTTGGGGTATTCTTTGTTGAGTTTGTCAAAGAATTCAAGGTTTCAAAATCTCAAGCAGGTAAGTGATCTTGATAGCAATAAATAATTATCGGGCTTCACCGTTTGCAGTTCATTTACCTTTTTTTAGCTGAAAAGTCATCACAGTTTTTCGCGGATAATCCGATACTCACAAATAATATCTCTGCATCTTCCGGAGGCAAACGTACAGTATATAAAAGTGTGTACGGGAAGAGTGCAGTATTTGTTTACATCTTTGGGAATCTACTGGGCAGAGGGTAGAGAAGAGTTTATTTATCAAATTGTTGTGATTAATGCTTGGGAAGTAATTTCAATTGGAAGATCATTCCTGTCCAATATTAAAGTGCACTGGAAGAAAAAATGTCTATGCTTCCTTTCTACATTTATTGTATCTATATACCTGATTGGATTGAGAAGGAATATTGGTTCAGACGGCTAGAGAGAGACAAATAAGAGGCAAGGGGTGTTTTTGTAATGCTGATTTAGTAGAGAATAATGCTGTACCTTGTAATAAGTCTACCTTTTCGTCTATCTTGCATCAGTTGTGTATTTGTAATACACCAGACATCTTCATACGTGTAACACGAAAGAGAATAGTGTGCTTCCACCGGGGATCGAACCCTCGATCTCCAGGTTCATAGTCAGATGCTCTACACTGAGCTAAAGGGAAATTTCCTCTAGCTCGAAGATAGAAGGCGACCGTAATCCTATGTAGTAATGTAGAATTAAAATCTGCCACACTACTACCCCTTTTTAAATGTGTTAGCCCTCAAACACCGCAACCCAGGTTCTTACTCCCTGTCACCACAGGAGGGCCACATACACCATTTGTAACAGGAAAGAGAATAGTGTGCTTCCACCGGGGATCGAACCCTCGATCTCCACAGGTTCCTAGTCGGACGCTCTACAACTGAGCTAAAGGTAAATTCCCTCTAGCTCGAAGCTAGAATGCGACCTTAATCCTATGTACAATTATAACCTGTCACACTACGTTGAATCAATCCGATTTCGTTACCTTGAATGTGAGGGTCCAACAAGAGTGATTAATATGTGTCGATAAAGCTTGTTCCAAAAGTGTTGTAAAATAAACATTTTATCAAACCTGTCTTCATTCCAGACAGCAAATACTTATCTAGGCTGGTATATGATGACATAAAAAGGTGTAACATGCCACCTGCACTCACGTAGTTATGTCTGACTTTGACGTCACTCCCAAATGTGTACTATTACTACTGACAAACCAAAATCCTACCAAAGCTGTTGGTCCTAGATCTAAGCACCTGTGATTAGCCGTATCCTTTGTCTAATCTTTGATGCATCCATCCATTCTGGGAGTATCCCACCTAATTAAATGTTCTTTCCAATCTCCAAGAAATGTTCCAAGATGAACTTAGAAACCTAAATGCTAATCTCACTAGCATTTATCAACAGTAAACTGTTGGGACATAAATTAGTCAGTAATATCACGAAACATGCAAACACAAAGAACATCCTTTACCTCTATTCGACACAGAACCATACACAGATACACAGATTTATTCTGACTGTAGGAAATTATACAATTTCTTCTGCTGTCAGCTCAATTATAAAAGTTAGTACATATAGTTGGTTAAACATATCAATAACATGATTTCTGAGTATTTTTTTGCGAGTCCATTACAGATAGCTGCACAGTTCCATAAAGAACAGATGTTCAATGATAAGTAATTATATTACAGTAACATTGTGAATTGAATGAGTGTGGTTCAAAAATAAAAATGTTGGTACGTATATGGGGGTCTCTTGTATATCGCACTTTTTAAATGTTCAAATGTGATATTTTCGTTAAAGTTCAATCAATGACCATTAGTATGTGTGACTTCGATGGCTTCCCTGTGGTTATACACAAGTGGCTGGTTCTTCCAATGACGGTCAAGGCTATGTTCAAATGCTCGGACTGTTCGTGACATTACGACCTCCGATGACAGGCCGTTCCATATATCCAAGGTTCGGTGAAGGAATGAGTGTTTCCGGATACTTTGAGTTCGTGTCCTCTGGTGGTGGTGGCGGTGGTGTTCTTGTTAGGTGTGATGAAAGTCGACACCTCGGGATCATACTTCTTGGTCATGATTTTGTATAGTTCTATCATGTCTCCTCTGGCTCTTCGATATGCCAATGTTGGTAATTTCAGGCGTTGAAGTCTCTAGGGGTAGGATAGATTAGCCATTCCGGGTATTAGCTTGGTAGCTCTCCTTCGTACATTTTCTATCGATTTTATCTGTTTAATGTGATGGGGGCTCCAGACTTGGTTGGCATACTCTAGATGTGGTCTCACGAGTACTTTGTATAAAGCTGTGAATGTTGTCAGATCCATGTATTCCATAAGTACGCCTTATTACACCCATTATAGAGTTGGCTTTGTTGATTTTTTCAGATATATGTACATTACATGCTATTTTATTGTCAATGGTGACTCCAATATCTTTCTCATGTTCTGTATAGGGAAGTTCCTTTCCATCTTCTAGGTTGTAGGTGAAGTTGTCAATATCACTGTTGCCAATTCGCATTGCTTTGCATTTGTCTGGGTGGAAAATAGAAGCCACTTTTTGTTCCATGATTGAGCTTTCACCAGGTCTTCCTGTTGGCCCTCGCAATCTTGGGTGTTAAATATAGCACGGTAGAATTTTGTGTCATCTGCGAAAAGGTATGTGTTGGTTTCCGTACTTGTTATATTCGGGAGGTCATTTATGTACAGGACAAATAGGACTGGTCCTAGGACGGATCCTTGTGGAATACCACTGCTCACCTCCTTCCAACACGACGTGTCTCCATTTATTGTTACGCGTTGTTTGCGATTTAGAAGAAAGGCTTTAATCCAGCTCGTGATTTTACCCGTAAATCCGTACATGCTCATTTTATGGACGAGTCGGTGGTGAGGGACCTTGTCAAATGCTTTCATAAAGTCACAGTACAGCACATCAATGCATCCTCCTGCATCAAGAATTTTCATCCAGTGGTTAATTACTTGAATTAATTGTAATACAGTGGATTTTCCTTGGATAAACCCAAATTGTTTCTTGCTGAATAATTTATTGGTATGCATGTATTTGATTATTGTTTCTCTTACAATCATTTCTAATACTATGCAACATATATTATACACGTTAAACTGATGGGTCTATAGTTACTGCCAGATTTACGATCTCCCTTCTTGAAAATGGCGGTGACACTTGCTTATCTCCTTTTTTCGGGAACGGTTCCATTGTGTATTGAAGCGTTCAAGATAATTGACAATGGCAGACAAATAGCAGAGCTCAGTTCCTTTAGCACTAGCGGGTGAAGGTTGTCTGGGCCTGGGGACTTTGATGTTTTGAGCTTTTCCAATGTTTTGAATACAATATTGGGGTTTATCATTATGTTATCTATTGTTTCATCTGTTATACGGTCAATCTGGGGCATGTTCTCCTCGGTTTCCTTCGTAAATACTGACGTGAAGAAATTGGCCAACACCTCAGCTTTTACCTTGTCGGTTGTTGTGACTTGCTGATCTTGTCCGGTATATAAATCTGATACTTTGGTTCGTGTTTTGGTTTTAGATTGAACATAGTTCAAGAACTTTTTGGGGTTGTTTTTAACTTCCATAGCGATTTTGTTGCCTTTCTAGTCATTGTTCTTACTTGGTTCCGTATATGGCAATATTCATTGTATGTTTCTGCACTTATTGTGTTTAAGTATCTAGTCCATAGCCGTAGTTTACGCTTTATTTTTGTAAGTGTTTTTCTGTCTAGTATTAGACATATATTTTTATTTTTGTAAGTGTTTTTCTGTCTAGTATTAGAACCATATTAATGAACCGATAAACAGAGATTCTGTGTTCAAATATTTGGGACCAGTGATCAATTAATACACATTTTGACAACTTTTAATGAGACGCCATACCGTATACCATTTTCAATATCTGCACTTGACTTTTGCTTTAAGCGAGTTAAGAGAGAGATGGTTTGAATACAGAATCAACGCTTAATAATTATAATAACATTTATTCAGGTAAAATATAGGCATATTACAATACATAAATATCCCAGAGTAGAGTACAGTACAACATTAAATTTTGCGACAGTATTTTTACCTTAAAATAACAACATTGAGCAATAGCTACTTTATGAGATCAATACATTAGAATTTTTACCGAAAGTGCAGCCTTTTACCTAGGATAATCCATTGGGGTCCTTTAAAGGAAACTAAAATACAATTTTAAAATTGAGTATTGGTGTTATACATTATTTGATACATTTGTGGACATCATTCATAAAATAAACGGCTATTCCATTAAAACATGATGGTCAGTTTAAAAGTCACATAATACTTTCTTCTATTTGAATGTGAAACATACCGTAAAATATTCAATAATCTAAAATATAGAATCATATTAAAAGTACACATATTCACTTTCTTGTTTTCCTTTCATAAGCTATTTAAAAGTGAATTTATTATTTTCACTTTTGTTGTTTCCAGGAAGTGAATTCCAATCTTTGGTACCAGAAAAATAAAAGGTTGTAGATTCAGAACCTTTTACATTAGGAACAATAAAATTACATAGATTTGAGCGAGTACTATACGGACATGGATTTCCTGTTAAAAAATTGATGCATATATTAAAAAGGAGCTTTTCCATGGAAAATATTGAACATATGGTTCAGTCTAAGTTGCCTTGCCCTGGTATTGATTTCCAGCATGTTTACACAACTAAGATCTTGGTATGACAAACTGTGTCTATTATGTACATTTAATATAAATCTTATCACATTGTTTTGTGCAACTTGTAGATTATTTTTAAGTTTTTTTGACAGTCCTTCATACCAACTAGCACTTGCATAGTCAAAGTGGCATATAATAAGCTCAGAGCACAAGATCTTCCTGGATTCGAAAGACAAACAACTACTATTCCTATACAGGAATTTTCATCTCTGATTAACATTTTTAATTATGGAATCAACAAACTCTTCACCAGATAACAAGTTGTTAATATATACCAAGATATGTTATACATGATGTAACTGAAATATTATGATTATTACAGCTTACTGTAAAACTCTCTTTACCATAAACCTTTTTTATTTTACGCTTTGGACCAAAAACAATAATCTCAGTTTTTCCAAGATGTAACGATAACTTATAATCGACCAGCCAGTCATGACAAGATTCCAGCACTGATGACAGTTTTCTGGATATAACCCTAGGGTCTTTGTGCGAAAAAAGAATAGCCGAGTCATCTGCATATAACAAAACTTTGCATGTCATTGACATAAATCAAAAATAATAGCGGTCCGAGCAAACTACCTTGAGGTACCCCGCAACTTGCATCACATGATTCGGAGTTCACACCATTTATGTTCACAATTTGTGTCCTACGAGAGAGATAGGACTTGAACCACTCTAATGATTCTATACCAATAACAGACAATTCATCACATACAGTACTATGGTCTACAGTGTCAAAGGCTTTCTGTAGGTCTAATAAAATACCTGTTTACAAACCTCTAGAAGTTTTAGACTTAATATGATCGGTAAGATGGATAATTAAACACGAGTCAGTAGAGTATGTGCTTCTAAAACCTGACTGTAGCAGCTCATATAGTAAATTATTTCCAACTAGAAAAGATTCGAGCTGAAACGCTTGAGCACGAGAACAAGTTCGTGAATACAGGCCACGGTTTTTGTAGATTTTATTAGAACAGTGGTGTTCCTGTTGGTCTTCCATTCCACTGTACATTTATTTACAGGTGACTCTATTGCGTACCCTTAAATTACCTTATCTACCAATGTCCAGCACATTCAGGAAGACCTTTGAATGTTATCCTTCTAGCGGAAAGCTTTGGGTTTTTTCATTTACATCCTGTAAAATATCACCATATACATTTTACCACATCTCATTTCCTTGTACACGGCAAGGAAGTGAGTTTCAACATGTGGACAAGACAAACATAATAGGTGTCACTGTCCAGTCAACTGTCTAGTGAAATCCCATACCTCCACCATAGGCTTTCTTAGGAGAAAAGGCAACCCTAAAACATCAGCCGAAGAGCTAAATAAAACTTTAGGAGTTGTACCTAGTAATCCATTATCTATACTACTGGGTACTGTTAGAGATACCACTTCTGGAACCGTGTTGTGAAGGAGGTTTGTGAATGGATCGCTGGTATGCTGAGAACAATTCGTATATCACCTTTAGAAGTCGTTGAAGCACCCTCTCTGGGTCACCTGACTTGGGTGGCTTGGAATGGCTGTTTTTTCTTCTCTTATCCTTCTTATCCTCTTTTTCAACAACATAGAAATGCAACACTACTTGACTCTTCTTTTCTACCTTTATTGACTTGTACCAGACTATATTTTTGGAACCCGATTTCTCTCCTCAGCAAACTGGCTACTACTCTTTCCTTCCTCCAGATTACGCTAACATATGCCATAGCTGCATATGGATTAGGCGCACTCCTTCTCCTACATCGACCCCGAAGTTTGATACAGGTGGCATGAAACAACTTGTCAGTAATGCGTAACGTTGATATGTGGCAACGATTTCATCGATGCTGAATTAGGGGTTATCGACAAATATATTCCTTCATAATTATTGATGGGAGAGTTCCTCAAAAATGTAACCTTCGTTTTCTTAATCCGTTCCATTTGGTTAAGACATATAACCATTACGATGATCTTGCATGAAAGTATGTAAGAAAACATGGTACAGACATTGCTGAAGTTTCTTTGATATACATGTATTTAGGTGAAGCCCGATAAATTACGAACGTAAGACTTCTTCGTGAAATGAAAGCAGATAAAAACGTGGTTCTACGGAGCGAAAACCCGCAACACAAATCCCAAGTGCAGACTTACTGGAAGTGTTTGTTACCAGGTCAGGACTGGGTGAATTTGCTCTCGCTACACTCCTGTTCTGCGACGCTCGAAGTTGACCAGCTCATCAATTCCTTTGTAAATGTAACGAACAAGTTGCTTCTTTAGTTGTGTGTGTAGTCTGCTACACGGACCCCAACAGCATCGAGCGATATATCGCATAGGAGTGTAGCGAGAGCAAAGTTGGGGTCTTCGTAGCTTACTACTAATACAGATATCAACCTTTAAAATCGAATTTAATTGGTGGTCATTTTTTTGGTTCTGGTATAGTCAATGACAATTGAGGTTGGTGCAACCACAGAAACATTAGAATTCGTTACAGCAGCAATGTTTGGACCTATACTGATGCGTTCAGATTAATATTAGACATTTCAGAGGTTTAGATCTACTCTCGGTAAAAATACCACCCCTTGATATGGAAGGGTGGAAATATCTAGATGTCGAAAAATCGGATGTTCAAAAAGTATTTGGAACCGTTGGCAAAATGGATATTTTGTTCCGTCTTGAACCTCATATATCGATGAAATATATATATACTTATTACTATTCGGGGTTAGCATTTTACCAAATGTTGATATAAACCTTAAACATGTCCAATAGTACTCTATACACATCAGGATACGTCTAAACATACCAACTGTAACACATTCTAATATCCGTGTGTGGTCAGATCTGTTTTACTATGTGCTTTGTGTGATTGGTTACAGCATGGGTTGGCTCCGTAGCGTATGGCCTATCCATGACGTTCGGACCTGTGGTCGCAATCATGTTAAAGCGATGGGGCAACAGGAGAGTCATGATGGCTGGTGCATGCATTTGTGCAATCTCTGTCCTTGCATCATCGTTCGTGGTTCGTCTAACACAACTCTTTGGTACTTTCTCATTCCTGTATGGAATCGGCACTTGTATGTGTACTCAGCCGACCATGACCATTGGCCCTACATACTTTGACAAGCACCTGTCTGTAGCAATCGGTCTCATGACTGCTGGAAGTAGTGTGGGCACGTTGGTTATGGCACCACTGTCTCAGTGTCTCATAGACAATATTGGATGGAGGAACACTTTCCGCGTCTTCACGGGATCCTGTTTGTGCTGTGCTTTATGTGGCGCTTTTATTGTGCCCCTGGACGAAGACACAAAAAGACAGGCAATGACATCAGAGAGCGTGGATATGTCTGCGTTTCGTCGCGTGCTAAAGGAGCTGAGGCTGTGGAAGAACAGAGTGTTTATCGTGTGGACGCTTGCAATTACATCAGTAATGTTTGGTTTCTACATCCCATACGTACACCTGGTAAGTGTTGTAGACCCACGCTATCAAATACATCTGACCAATACTCATCACCTCAAATGGTCAGTATCACGCCATACTGTAGTAAATATTGTAAATGTGACGCACCAGATTGCAAAATATCTTGGTAGTGTAATAAACCACAATCGAGACCCTGACCTAGTATATAAACCTTAAAATGTGATTTGCCGATTCCAGTCCCTCAGATGTGCACATTCAAAATGTAACACACAACATCCAATAGCCTGTATTTGTATTTGTTTAAACGTTTTATAGCAACCTCGCCATAGAGGCCCACCATGTAATTGTTGTACACCGCAATACAGACTTGTTATATGACCATGCCAATGATAAAACATCCAAGTATTATACACTAAATGTCTTTCCCAATATACAACCTTTTATTTCTTTATTTGTATGTTCTATGTCGTCTATGTCAGGTATCCTATGCTGAAGATATTGGAATCCCCCCAGAGCGAGGCTCTATCTTCGTCATGTTACTAGGCGCATCAACTGCAATAGGAAGGATAAGTTTCGGCAAGATTGTGCAGCTTGGCTTTCTCAACCGTATACATATGCACCAAATATCCATGGTGATCACGGGCACGGGGGTGATGCTCCTTCCGATGATCAAAACATTTTCGGGCATTGCAGTATATGTCATCGTCGTCGGACTGGTGGACGGATGTTACGTCGTGCTTCTTCCAGTCCTCACAACTTCATTGATGGGAGCAGAGAACACTGTTATTGCTTGGTGCTTCCTCGTGGGAACAAGTTCTATCACCTTCACTCTTGGACCGCCAGTAGCAGGTAAATCAACACCTCTCACCACATGTCGCTACAAGCTCCAACTTTGGACCAACAAAAGGTAGGTAATTCATCACCTTTACCCTCGGACCACCAAAGTTAGGTAATGCATCACCTCCCATCTTAGATCATCATTAGCAGTTTAAGTGAACACCTTTTACTGCAGGTCGTCACTGGTAGCTTAGTCGTCACATCATCATTGAAACAGCAGTGGCAGGTAAGTCATCAATGTCACATTTGAGAAAGCAGTCGTTGACGTAAACATCACAGACAATTGCAACAAAGTAAATAACGTCATCATCTAAAATACTGTGGTACGGAAGTCAGGTGCAGATAAGTCATCACATAATGCCCTGGATAGGCAGTTGCAGGTAAGTCATCAACGTCGCTCTTGGGCAGACAGTGACATGTAAGTCATCAATGTCGCCCTTTGGCAGACAGCGGCAGGTAAGTCATCAACGTCGCTCTTGGGCAGACAGTGGCAGGTAAGACATCAACGTCACTCTTGGACAGACATTGACAGGTAAGTCATCACCGTCGTCCTTGGGCAGACAGTGGCAGGTAAATCATCAACGTCACTATTGGGCAGACAGTGACAACCAAAACACATCACCCCTGGGGTTGGAGATTTCTCTGTCAAACCCTCAAGGTAGGGGAAGATTCTATTAGCCATCAACGTCGCTCTTGGACAGACAGTGGCAGATAAGTCATCCACGTCATCCAGGAACAGGCAGTGGCATTCAAGCCATCAACGTCAACATTGGACAGAGATAGACAGTTAGGCCATCAACGCACCTCTTGGACAAGCAGTGACAGGTTAGCCATCAACGTTACTCTAAGACAGACAGCGACAGGTAAGTCATCAACGTCAACAGGAAACAGACAGGGGTAAGTAAGCAATCAACTCAACAATTGACCAGGCAGTGGAAGGTAAGCTATCAACTTCACCTTTGGGCAGTGAGTGGCAGGGAAGCCAACAACGTTACCTTTAACAGTGACAGGGAAGTCATCAACGTTCTCCTAGGACAGACAGTGACAGGTAAGTCATCAACGTTCTCCTAGGACAGGCAGTGGAAGGTAAGTCATCAACGTTCTCCTAGGACAGACAGTGACAGGTAAGTCATCAACGTTCTCCTAGGACAGTGACAGGTAAGTCATCAACGTTATCCTAGGATAGACAGTGACAGGTAAGTCATCAACGTTCTCTTAGGACAGACAGCGACAGGTAAGTCATCAACGTTCTCCTAGGACAGGCAGTGGAAGGTAAGTCATCAACGTTCTCCTAGGACAGACAGTGACAAGTAAGTCATCAACGTTCTCTTAGGACAGACAGTGACAAGTAAGTCATCAACGTTCTCCTAGGATAGACAGTGACAAGTAAGTCATCAACGTTCTCTTAGGACAGACAGTGGTAGGTAAGTCATCAACGTTCTCCTAGGATAGACAGTTACAGGTAAGTCATCAACATTCTCTTAGGACAGACAGTGGTAGGTAAGTCATAAACGTTCTCTTAGGACAGACAGTGACAGGTAAGTCATCAACGTTCTGTTAGGACAGACAGTGACAGGGAAGTCATCAACGTTCTCCTAGGATAGACAGTGACAAGTAAGTCATCAACGTTCTCTTAGGACAGACAGTGATAGGTAAGTCATCATCGTTCTCCTAGGATAGACAGTGACAGGTAAGTCATCAACATTCTGTTAGGACAGACAGTGACAGGTAAGTCATCAACGTTCTGTTAGGACAGACAGTGACAGGTAAATCATCAACGTTCTCTTAGGACAGACAGTGATAGGTAAGTCATCAACGTTCTCCTAGGACAGACAGTGGCAGGTAAGTCATCAACGTTCTCTTAGGACAGACAGTGATAGGTAAGTCATCAACGTTCTCCTAGGATAGACAGTGACAGGTAAGTCATCAACGTTCTCTTAGTACAGACAGTGGCAGGTAAGTCATCAACGTTCTCCTAGGACAGACATTGACAGGTAAGTCATCAACATTCTCCTAGGACAGACAGTGGCAGGTAAGTCATCAACGTTCTGTTAGGACAGACAGTGGCAGGGAAGTCCTCAACGTTCTCCTAGGATAGACAGTGACGGGTAAGTCATCAACATTCTCTTAGGACAGACAGTGGCAGGGAAGGCATCAACGTTCTCCTAGGATAGACAGGGACAGGTAAGTCATCAACATTCTCTTAGGACAGACAGTGACAGGTAAGTCATCAACGCTCTCTTAGTACAGACAGTGGCAGGTAAGGCATCAACGTTCTCCTAGGACAGACAGTTACAGGTAAGTCATCAACATTCTCCCAAGACAGACAGTTACAGGTAAGTCCTCAACGTTCTCCTAGGATAGACAGTTACAGGGAAGTCATCAACATTCTCCTAAGACAGACAGTTACAGGGAAGTCATCAACGTTCTCCTAAGACAGACAGTGACAGGGAAGTCATCAACATTCTCCTAAGACAGACAGTGACAGGGAAGTCATCAACATTCTCCTAAGACAGACAGTGACTGGTAAGTCATCAACGTTCTCCTAGGCCAGACAGTGACAGGTAAGTCATCAACCTTCTCTTAGGACAGACATTGACAGGTAAGTCATTAACATTCTCCTAGGACAGACAGTGGCAGGTGAGTCATCAACGTTCTGTTAGGACAGACAGTGGCAGGGAAGTCATCAACGTTTTCCTAGGATAGACAGTGACAGGTAAGTCATCACCATTCTCCTAGGACAGACAGTGGCAGGTAATTCATCAACGTTCTCTTAGGACAGACAGTTACAGGTAAGTCATCAACGTTATCCTAGGACAGACAGTGACAGGTAAGTAGACAGTGACAAGTAAGTCATCAACGTTCTCCTAGGATAGAAAGTGACAGGGAAGTCATCAACATTCTCCTAAGACAGACAGTGACTGGTAAGTCATCAACGTTCTCCTAGGACAGCCATTGACAGGTAAGTCATCAACATTCTCCTAAGACAGACAGTGACTGGTAAGTCATCAACGTTCTCCTAGGATACACAGTGACAGGTAAGGCATCAACATTCTCCTAAGACAGACAGTTACAGGGAAGTCATCAACGTTCTCCTAGGATAGACAGTGACAGGTAAGTCATCAACATTCTCTTAGGACAGACATTGACAGGTAAGTCATCAACGTTCTCTTAGGACAGACAGTTACAGGTAAGTCATCAACGTTCTCCTAGGACAGACAGTGGCTGGTAAGTCATCAACGTTCTCCTAGGATAGACAGGGACAGGTAAGTCATCAACATTCTCTTAGGACAGACAGTGACAGGTAAGTCATCAACATTCTCCTAAGACAGACAGTTACAGGTAAGTCATCAACGTTATCCTAGGACAGACAGTGGCAGGGAAGTCATCAACGTTCTCCTAGGATAGACAGTTACAGGTAAGTCATCAACGTTCCCCTAGGACAGACAGTTACGTGTAAATCAACAACGTCACCTTTGACAGGCAGTGACAGGCGAGTCATCAACGTCCCCCTTGACAGACAGTGACAGGTAAGCCACCGTCCCCCTTGGAAACATGCAATTGCAGGTAAGTAATCAAAGTTCTCATTGGACACACATTGAAAGGTAGGTCATCAACGCCCCCTTTGACAGGCAGAGATAGGTAAGTCATCAACGTCCCCTTTGACAGGCAGAGATAGGTTAATCATCAACGTCCCCTTTGACAGGCAGAGATAGGTAAGTCATCAACGTCCCCTTTGAAAGGCAATGGCAGGTAAGTCGAATAGAATCATCCTCTACCTTGAGGGTGTGGCGGAGAAATCTCCAACCCGAGAGATGATATTCTTAAATGTTTTACTCTCAGCGGGTTAGACAATCAAGAATATCATCACTCGGGTTGCAGAGTTATCTGTCACACCCTCAAGGTAAGGGATGATTGTTTTTCTCCCAACCTGCTTCACTCACAATTCCGCCGGCAAGTGGTGATTGCATGAAATATAAGCCATGATTGCATGTTTTTCAAGCAAATCCAGAGTTGTCTTCCATGGTATGCTACTGTTGACGTGACGTCGTACTATTGTTACGACTTAAATAGCGCCATTCTGCGCGAGGCTATCTCCCTCTAGGGGGTGACACGCTGATCTTTTCCGGCTTAAAAGGGAGACACGCCTGGGAAGGGAGGAAGAAAACAACGTCACCTTTAACACAAAGACAAGTAAGCCATCAAAGGTTCCCCTATGCCAGACAGTGAAAGGTAAGCCATCAACGTTCCCTAGAACAATCAGTGAAAGGTAAGTCAACAACGTCCCCCTTGGACAGGCTGAGATAGGTAAGTTCTCAACGTCACCCTTTGACAGGCTGAGTTAGCTAATTCTCCCACCCTTCACAGGCGTGTCTCCCGTTTTAACCGGGAAAGATCAGCTTGTCATCCCCTAGGGGGAGATGGCCTCGTGCCGATTAGCACGTATTTAATTGTGACGTCATTAAAATGCGTCATCGATAATTGTGACGTCATCAAAAGTGAATGACATTACACTACTGTCGTTGGAGTTGTGACTGAAATAATTGAATGAGAGAAAAACAATCATCCCCTACCAGCCGAGGGATAGACAACCAAAAACATCACCCCGAGAGTTGGAGATGACGGCCAAGATCGTTCTTCAGTGTATATTGAATTCTCTCTAGTAAGTCGTTATTTCATGGTGAAGACAAAGCATAAACTGAGTATCGTCGTACTGACTGCTTGTATTTGAATCCGTTGATTGCATGCATGGGCAATCGGTGAATCCGACAAAAGACTGATCTCGGTGTTAAAAAGACAAAGATTTTGCTACACATCTAACACGTTATGATGATTTTTTTGAATGTCTGATTTTTACAGGAGCTTTATATGACGCACTTGGATCATACGATGTTGCGTTCCACTGTGCAGGAATTCCTGTCATAGGGGGCGCTGTGATATTGTTTTTCATACCATGGGCTCAACGTACCAACACGGTGTTCGATATCCCACCTCATACCATCAGTGAATGTGCCCTGAATGAGTACGACTTCATAGATGATCTTCTGTACGGACCACGTGACACACTACCGGTATCGTCGTCATGTACACTCAACTCCGGCTCCATAGTGAGGGAGTCTAGTGTCTCTCTTCGGATGACGACTCCAAGTCGAGGAATAAAGTCGAGCATGCGCAGTAGGGCCAAATCGTATAGGGACCAGAGCACAGCTACTTCTCCCGGATCAGTCAGCCTCGTTCCCGTGGACGTACAGAACGCATTGGAGCAGCTGGAGAAAACAAGACAGATGCTTGAGCGGGTCCTCAGCAAAGACCGCGAGGAAACCAGTAAGCGTTCTGTGAGCGAGCTAGTACAGGTAGGGAAAACATTTATCACATTATCACATGTTTTCATTACCTAACACCCAGGGAGGGAGATGGATGTAGAAATTACGCTGGGTGTCTGTTCGTCCGAATGCTAAGTTTAGAACGAATGTCCCAGGATAGAAGGGATACTTATATTGATTATGACCTTTTTTAATTACATGTAGTTCGTTAATGGTAAATGTGACTGATATCAAGTTAAAGTATCTTCTTGCACAGATCATACGGTCAGAATTTATGACCGCACGAAGATCAGACTTGGTATGAATGATTGATTTGTGATATGATCAATCAAGGGTCCACATCAGATGTTGCTCAGGGTTTTTTATGGTGATAAACTGCTTCTGGCGGCTGTCATTGGAAACAACAAAAACGAATAAGCTAAAGCGTGATGTCATCATATGAATAAACGTGGAAGATATACACACAATTTACATCCTCATTGCGATTAACGGGTTGTTTACTTAATGGTGTGTATCTTTATTCAATGTTTACTTAATGGTGTGTATCTTCATTCAATGTTTTAATTCTTTATTTACTTTATTGAAGACACAAACCCGACGAGAACATACCCTGACTAACGCCATGAGCATCATGTCTGTGCCAGTGGGGCTACACATGTCCTGTTCTAGGTGTCGGCCATATACGCAGGATCAACACGTTGAAGGGACCCCAGGGGAGTGTGGTCGGGACTATCGTGACTTGGTGTCACCAACCTCCCCGACCCAGTTGTCAATGGGATCATCCTTCCAGTCCCGGAATCTCTCCGACTACCAGGAAAACACGGACACTTTATGTGCGATAGGTGGGTACCATGCGACAGGTTATCTCTCCCCGGAAAGGAAGACGACAATTCTATGCCCCGGCCGCTCCACGTGTTCCTTTCAACAAAGTCATTCTATACAGGAGCGGCCATGCACTCACACAGCTTGTACTGACAAAGGTGAAGGACCAGAATTTGATAGAGTTGTACATAGTCAGATAGAGAACCTGCGGGAAACTTTACTGAGTCCTTCCAAAATTCCTTCATTTGAAGAAAACAAGGAGGACGATCTCCAAAAGGACTCCTCAAGTGATTTTCAGCTCATCGATCAGAGCGACCTGGAGCCCGTTGCAGGATCAGTTTACTCTCTAGACGCACCCTCTCACAAGAGGGAAAGTATCCATAAGCTTTGTTCGCCTAAGCTAGAGGTTATTGAAGAAGTTCCCGTGAATATCACTCAAGCAGATAACACAGTAGGTAACGCAGAACTTTCCTCCGAGGCTGTAGAAACCTGGCTCAGAAACTCGCCCAATTGTACTCAGGTTAGGATCCCTTTAGATGGCGAGAGCTGTCTGTCGGACAACGACAGCTCCCCAAATACTGATGTCACTGTGCACGAAACCGCGTCCAACAGGTCAAGTCCTGGCGGCGAGATCGACGTGTTCACACACCTATTTGATGACGATGATGACAACACCATTTGAAACAACAGCAGAAATCAAAGTTGTATCTACCGAATGAAGAAATTATTTGGATTTCAGCTTATTGGCAATACACACTGCCGGGATATTTCAACGGGTGGTCAGAAAATTATCAAAGCTGGACGTAAATATGCGTGAGGAATCAAGTGGCCAACGTGTCAGATTATGTGTCATAATGTGGAGTCAGATTATGTGTCATAATGTGGTTGTATGTAGGATGTGCACAGCGTCAAGACCAATTTACCTGTGCATAAGGATTACAACATGATTATAGGACACACTGATTATTTTGCAAAGGATAAATGTCGTTTGACGTGTACACTCTGGCTTGACCAATCGTAATTGGTGTGCAGTAGGTCTTCAGTTTCAGACATATTTTGTGTGTGGAAAATTTCTAGTGGTCAAATATTGCCACAACATATGTGAAACAATTTTGTGTCTACAAAGTTACAGTATTTTGAGAAAAGATTTCCAAAAGTTCTATACTCTCGGTTTTTATAGGGTATAACAGTATGAAGTTTCCAATATCGCTGCACTGTCCGGACAAAGGTTTAAGTCAAGTAAAATATTCCCAGATTCGAATGTAAACGAAGGACCTATTTAATATAGCCTTCCTGATTCGACTGCAACGGTGTACACTTGTCCGATATTATTATTGATTCGGCTGAAACGGTCTACATTGTTCTTATATAATCGGACTTGATGCGACGGAAACGGTCCAGAATCGGACTTGATTCATAGATGTAAAGTTCTTTGATGGTCTAATATTTCCAATTTCCATGGAACAGGGTTTCGGTGTAGGGCAACACTTAGCTACGATATCACTGTACTTGACCCGTCTGTATGCGATCTATGACATGTCAGTATCACCAAACTGCACTCAAGAATGAACGGACAATAGTGGCGCAATGCTGGTACACCTTCTTGACCAGGTTCGACTCGTGTGTATGCGGTCTCTGAAGTTATACCGGAGTACAACGTACGGTATGATGGTGTGATATCACCGGGCTAATTCGCGTGCAATACTCTCATCACGATTCAGCTATTGAAGCTATTTTCACGCCACACGTGTAGGAGTTAGCTATAGCAGTATATAATATAGGTTTTCAAACAATAAACAACACTTTTATGATCGGAAGATAACAATATGAAAATGTATCTATATTTGTTTTGTGTTTGTTGTATGATATAAGTTTTAGTAATTTTTAATTCATGTGTTCCTTTCAAATGAATCACTTATCATTTTACCAAGGGACCTTGCACAAGTTCCCATTAAATCGGATTCAATTAATCATGTCCTCTCTCTAACAATAACAAAGGTTATCACACAAAGTTGGGGTCTAATATATCGGCTCCTGGTGGAATTAAAAAAATCGGGATCAATCGAACTCTTCATAGATCCTGACTAAGGAGGCAGGACCCAAATCGGATCAGTACCCTAATCGGAACACTTTTTGCAAAAATACTTATAAATCGATAAATGTGTCAACAAATCAGTTATAACAATGATATAGACTAAAACTATATAGCCATGCAGCATTTTTTGTCTACAGATGATTAGTTTTTAAGTTCAAATAGCACAAGAAAACGTAATTCAAACTCAAATGTCAGTGTTTTGATTACGTTTTTAAAAAATAGCGCGTGCGACGACTATGCATTCTTTTTTGGGTTATAGGAATAAATTCACACTATAGAAATACTTTCTGTCATATAAACTCTTTTCATTTGAAGGATAAGATACTGCAAAATTCAAGCCTTGGTCCAATTTGGGTCCTGACATTCGCAAAAACCGGAAACGCTGATTGGTGACTTAAAGCGTTCTATAAATATCTCAAGTGAGCCCCGGGTGCTAATGTCGTTTGTAAGAACACGATTCTTCTTTTGATAAAACCATAAATGAATATATTTTTCCCAATATTTTTCAATGAATGAATAAAATGATGGTTTGGTGATCCGATTTGGGTACTGTCACCTTATCCTGTGGAAGTTCATAGATCCTAACTATCCTGTGGAATAAGGAAATCGGGAAAAACCCTTGATAAACAATCTTGACTATATTGGTGAAGTAAGGAAATCGGGGACAACTCCAAATCTCCAAAGATCCTGACTAAATTGGTGGAGTAAGGAAATCGGGGACAACTCCTAATCTCCATAGATCCTGACTAAATTGGTGGAGTAAGGAAATCGGGGACAACTCCTAATCTCCATAGATCCTGACTAAATTGGTGGAGTAAGGAAATCGGGGACAACTCCTAATCTCCATAGATCCTGACTAAATTGGTGGAGTAAGGAAATCGGGGACAACTCCTAATCTCCATAGATCCTGACTAAATTGGTGGAGTAAGGAAATCGGGGACAACTCCTAATCTCCATAGATCCTGACTAAATTGGTGGAGTAAGGAAATCGGGGACAACTCCTAATCTCCATAGATCCTGACTAAATTGGTGGAGTAAGGAAATCGGGGACAACTCCTAATCTCCATAGATCCTGACTAAATTGGTGGAGTAAGGAAATCGGGGACAACTCCTAATCTCCATAGATCCTGACTAAATTGGTGGAGTAAGGAAATCGGGGACAACTCCTAATCTCCATAGATCCTGACTAAATTGGTGGAGTAAGGAAATCGGGGACAACTCCTAATCTCCATAGATCCTGACTAAATTGGTGGAGTAAGGAAATCGGGGACAACTCCTAATCTCCATAGATCCTGACTAAATTGGTGGAGTAAGGAAATCGGGGACAACTCCTAATCTCCATAGATCCTGACTAAATTGGTGGAGTAAGGAAATCGGGGACAACTCCTAATCTCCATAGATCCTGACTAAATTGGTGGAGTAAGGAAATCGGGGACAACTCCTAATCTCCATAGATCCTGACTAAATTGGTGGAGTAAGGAAATCGGGGACAACTCCTAATCTCCATAGATCCTGACTAAATTGGTGGAGTAAGGAAATCGGGGACAACTCCTAATCTCCATAGATCCTGACTAAATTGGTGGAGTAAGGAAATCGGGGACAACTCCTAATCTCCATAGATCCTGACTAAATTGGTGGAGTAAGGAAATCGGGGACAACTCCTAATCTCCATAGATCCTGACTAAATTGGTGGAGTAAGGAAATCGGGGACAACTCCTAATCTCCATAGATCCTGACTAAATTGGTGGAGTAAGGAAATCGGGGACAACTCCTAATCTCCATAGATCCTGACTAAATTGGTGGAGTAAGGAAATCGGGGACAACTCCTAATCTCCATAGATCCTGACTAAATTGGTGGAGTAAGGAAATCGGGGACAACTCCTAATCTCCATAGATCCTGACTAAATTGGTGGAGTAAGGAAATCGGGGACAACTCCTAATCTCCATAGATCCTGACTAAATTGGTGGAGTAAGGAAATCGGGGACAACTCCTAATCTCCATAGATCCTGACTAAATTGGTGGAGTAAGGAAATCGGGGACAACTCCTAATCTCCATAGATCCTGACTAAATTGGTGGAGTAAGGAAATCGGGGACAACTCCTAATCTCCATAGATCCTGACTAAATTGGTGGAGTAAGGAAATCGGGGACAACTCCTAATCTCCATAGATCCTGACTAAATTGGTGGAGTAAGGAAATCGGGGACAACTCCTAATCTCCATAGATCCTGACTAAATTGGTGGAGTAAGGAAATCGGGGACAACTCCTAATCTCCATAGATCCTGACTAAATTGGTGGAGTAAGGAAATCGGGGACAACTCCTAATCTCCATAGATCCTGACTAAATTGGTGGAGTAAGGAAATCGGGGACAACTCCTAATCTCCATAGATCCTGACTAAATTGGTGGAGTAAGGAAATCGGGGACAACTCCTAATCTCCATAGATCCTGACTAAATTGGTGGAGTAAGGAAATCGGGGACAACTCCTAATCTCCATAGATCCTGACTAAATTGGTGGAGTAAGGAAATCGGGGACAACTCCTAATCTCCATAGATCCTGACTAAATTGGTGGAGTAAGGAAATCGGGGACAACTCCTAATCTCCATAGATCCTGACTAAATTGGTGGAGTAAGGAAATCGGGGACAACTCCTAATCTCCATAGATCCTGACTAAATTGGTGGAGTAAGGAAATCGGGGACAACTCCTAATCTCCATAGATCCTGACTAAATTGGTGGAGTAAGGAAATCGGGGACAACTCCTAATCTCCATAGATCCTGACTAAATTGGTGGAGTAAGGAAATCGGGGACAACTCCTAATCTCCATAGATCCTGACTAAATTGGTGGAGTAAGGAAATCGGGGACAACTCCTAATCTCCATAGATCCTGACTAAATTGGTGGAGTAAGGAAATCGGGGACAACTCCTAATCTCCATAGATCCTGACTAAATTGGTGGAGTAAGGAAATCGGGGACAACTCCTAATCTCCATAGATCCTGACTAAATTGGTGGAGTAAGGAAATCGGGGACAACTCCTAATCTCCATAGATCCTGACTAAATTGGTGGAGTAAGGAAATCGGGGACAACTCCTAATCTCCATAGATCCTGACTAAATTGGTGGAGTAAGGAAATCGGGGACAACTCCTAATCTCCATAGATCCTGACTAAATTGGTGGAGTAAGGAAATCGGGGACAACTCCTAATCTCCATAGATCCTGACTAAATTGGTGGAGTAAGGAAATCGGGGACAACTCCTAATCTCCATAGATCCTGACTAAATTGGTGGAGTAAGGAAATCGGGGACAACTCCTAATCTCCATAGATCCTGACTAAATTGGTGGAGTAAGGAAATCGGGGACAACTCCTAATCTCCATAGATCCTGACTAAATTGGTGGAGTAAGGAAATCGGGGACAACTCCTAATCTCCATAGATCCTGACTAAATTGGTGGAGTAAGGAAATCGGGGACAACTCCTAATCTCCATAGATCCTGACTAAATTGGTGGAGTAAGGAAATCGGGGACAACTCCTAATCTCCATAGATCCTGACTAAATTGGTGGAGTAAGGAAATCGGGGACAACTCCTAATCTCCATAGATCCTGACTAAATTGGTGGAGTAAGGAAATCGGGGACAACTCCTAATCTCCATAGATCCTGACTAAATTGGTGGAGTAAGGAAATCGGGGACAACTCCTAATCTCCATAGATCCTGACTAAATTGGTGGAGTAAGGAAATCGGGGACAACTCCTAATCTCCATAGATCCTGACTAAATTGGTGGAGTAAGGAAATCGGGGACAACTCCTAATCTCCATAGATCCTGACTAAATTGGTGGAGTAAGGAAATCGGGGACAACTCCTAATCTCCATAGATCCTGACTAAATTGGTGGAGTAAGGAAATCGGGGACAACTCCTAATCTCCATAGATCCTGACTAAATTGGTGGAGTAAGGAAATCGGGGACAACTCCTAATCTCCATAGATCCTGACTAAATTGGTGGAGTAAGGAAATCGGGGACAACTCCTAATCTCCATAGATCCTGACTAAATTGGTGGAGTAAGGAAATCGGGGACAACTCCTAATCTCCATAGATCCTGACTAAATTGGTGGAGTAAGGAAATCGGGGACAACTCCTAATCTCCATAGATCCTGACTAAATTGGTGGAGTAAGGAAATCGGGGACAACTCCTAATCTCCATAGATCCTGACTAAATTGGTGGAGTAAGGAAATCGGGGACAACTCCTAATCTCCATAGATCCTGACTAAATTGGTGGAGTAAGGAAATCGGGGACAACTCCTAATCTCCATAGATCCTGACTAAATTGGTGGAGTAAGGAAATCGGGGACAACTCCTAATCTCCATAGATCCTGACTAAATTGGTGGAGTAAGGAAATCGGGGACAACTCCTAATCTCCATAGATCCTGACTAAATTGGTGGAGTAAGGAAATCGGGGACAACTCCTAATCTCCATAGATCCTGACTAAATTGGTGGAGTAAGGAAATCGGGGACAACTCCTAATCTCCATAGATCCTGACTAAATTGGTGGAGTAAGGAAATCGGGGACAACTCCTAATCTCCATAGATCCTGACTAAATTGGTGGAGTAAGGAAATCGGGGACAACTCCTAATCTCCATAGATCCTGACTAAATTGGTGGAGTAAGGAAATCGGGGACAACTCCTAATCTCCATAGATCCTGACTAAATTGGTGGAGTAAGG